GGAGAGCAAATGCTTTAATCGCAGGCACCTAAATCAATACAATCTGGAATGAGAGAAAGGGAGAAACAAGCGTCATCTTATTGATGATTTTATTTAGAATATTTTTTGATAGTTATTATTAGCCCTTTAGTTGACTTCAGGCTTCACAGAGGGGAAGGATCATCAAAGTGAAAAAGTCTTGAGGGGAGTGGGGGGGGGGGAGAACAGAATGGTATTTCAAAGATGTAAAAGAGGCAGACACAAATATAGAAAAAGTGAGGTGAGTACTGTGGAAGTAGTCGAATATGACATACAGTGGGGTGATGGTAGTTTGAAGTCAGAAGTCAACTGCCGGTTAATAGACTTTTTTTGCCGTTTGGCTATACATTGCTCAGGGTGCACCATGTAGAGGTAAGTCTATCGCACACTCCATATTTAAAACATAATGGGAGGCTTAATGGCTACTCCAAAATTTTTCTAAATATTCTTTATTTCTAGTATTTATAATTTCGGTCTGGAGATAGCAAAGCGTTTCACAGACATTTTTCTCAATTTTCAGCTTGTTTTAAATTTTCTTAATTTTCCTCGCGTTTCCTATATCCTTTGGGCTAAAAAATTAAGTAAAGTACTAGCAAGAGAAATGGACTTTTGCAATTCAAATAACCAAACGAATATCAATATAAAGTACACTTAGAGAGCGCTTTATAGCATGTTAGTTGAATAATAGTGTTTTAGAGCAAAACCCGCAAATTTTAAGTATTAATAGAATAATCAATACTTTGCAAAATGTTTGAGACTAAATGATATATCATAAAAATGGAGGCCAGATGTTTAGTTGCTTAATTATTACTCCTGTAGTCACCGTTTTACTCTACTTCTTCAAAAATGTCATCCATCTCCCATTCCATCGTTGTCTCTCATAGTGATTACTACTGAAAAATCCTATTGAGGCAGCCAAAGGTAACATGAAATTGTATCCGCTAGTCAGTTGTAGGTTAAAAATAATGAATCCAACATATTTTAAGGTAGCTTTCATGACTAAAGTAATTTAAGAATGACTTTGCTCAGAGATTACCATTCCAAAGTGACATCAGCACAAAAATCACATATGCTTGTCGAAAGCGACTTAAATATCTTGATCTGTGCAATTACAAGCGTGATTAACTAGAGTGGGTAGTTCGTCTTGATCGATATTCCTTGGTTTATGATAAATGCAGACACCCAAGGAAAGCGTTCTTGCTAAACCTGTTTTTCATCCCTTAACTCAATTCTTCTCAGATGTTCTTTATATGCCTTCAAGCCGATGTTTCATACCCTCCTATTGATCTTAGTCCTTCTTTGTCTATCGGAGAATTCTCGTATCTAGCCTTATTGATTCTAATTCAAATTGATCCGAGCTTTGGCCCATTAAGTCTACCATAACAGGGACAAATATTACCTGTCGCTATTAGGTATTTTACATAGGTCAATGTTCCGATAAATGACAACCAGAACTGCTATGTTCGATTTGAGAAATCTTGACGTGGTCTAACTATTTCTCTTTTACATTTGCATCAAAATCTTGAGATGCACTAACAAAAACAACTCAGTAAACATCCTCAGCGTCTAAACCAAAAACGAATCGAATGGAGACTTATGAAATCTTTGAGATCCTACCACTTCGAATGACCTTGAGACAGACTAAGAATGATTTCACTGTTCGCCAGGAGTTAGTATATAAAATGACAATTTTTACCCATGAAATATTAGAACGAAAATACGTTTTAGATCATTCTTAAACTTGTCGCTTTAAAAATTTACTTAATTGTAGAGTTGTTGCCTTACTTAACTTTGGAGTTTCAAATGAAGTTTGCGGTACACAGATTGAGGTTCCAGATTTCGAGATCTAGGGCAATTGAAGATTTATGGCCTCGATAACTTTTTCGGGAGCAATTACACTAATTATATGGATTAAACTATATTGTAACTTCTCAAAATTACATAGGGAAACAGTCATTACGAATAAAGTTCACCCAGCCTAAATTACATTACCTAATCACGTGCGGAGAAAGACAGCCCCCAATGAGATCAGGCAAACTAAATTGGCCTACCAATAGGCTCGAAGAGCTCGAACCAATGAGAAATCAGCGCATGGACACATTGATTCAGAGCGTCAAGCGCAGCGTAAGTTATAACGAGCAGTAAAGTGTATTACTTTTGGAAGCAAAACACATTCCTTGTTGGGAGATAGCAAAAGAGTTACTGACAGCGGGAAGAGCAGGCTTAAAGCTTTTCCTCACCCACTCAGCCGAATAAGCGGATGAGCGCTATAAATTGCGAAAAAAATAAGCAATCGAAAATGACGGCTGGCGTTAGGGATAAGGAACAGGAAGAAGGTGCAGAAGCAACGGGAACAAGCTCCTCACAAATTTTAAAAAATGGGGCGGCGGATTTTGTCGAAGGTCAAACTATTGTTGACGAAATTGGGGTGAGTATAAAATTTTTTTGGCAATTTAATAAATAGAAATGCATTTTTTTCACTTTTGATGAATTTAGGAAAATAGGATGTTTTCATTTAAACTCAATATAAATGCGAACTTTTAAAATATTTATTGTTTCTAAGATTCAATGACATAATAATATTTAATTGAAAAGTATTTCTCATTCTAAAGACAATAATTCATTTATTAGCTCCGGAAACTTATGTTTGTACTCTGTTTTGTAAAACCATTTTATTTTACTGAACTTTGACATGATTCGATTTAGAAACTTTATATCAAGTTTAAAAATTCTTAACGTGGTATGATCCCACCTTTTACTTTTAATTTTATTTTTTTTAAAATTATGATTCGTAGTTAACATAAAACCAAAATTATTTCAAGTTCTGTAAAAGTGTCATTTTCTACATTTTTTCATTTCATTTTACGATAGTTTATAGTTTGAGCATTCCAACTATGGCGAAAGTCACACACTAACCAAGCAAAAATGTTCTGTTCCATTATAATTCTTACTTTTTGCATTATGTCAGAAAGTGAGAGATGAATATATATCGTAATAGAATTGCAATGACACTATGTAAACGGAAATGCCTGAGGATTATAAGCTAAGATGATGCTTTTATAATCTTAAAATAAGAGTAGATAGTAGAAATGAAATGATGAGGTCTGGATTTGACTTAATGAGCGGAATCAATCAATTCTTTTTATTATTTTATTGAAATTTAATTTCCTAAGACAAACCGAACTAACTTCTTTTATAAAAGAAATATCTTTAAACGGAATGTGATTGAGTTCATTAGGGGATATATATTTTCATCATGAAAACATATAATAAAAAAGGCATTTTCTGAACGGATGATTAAGAATTTCAATCATACTTCGCGGAATATTTTTACGATTTGATTTATATCAAACACAAAATCGAATTAGAAGCAGAACACCATCGGCAATATAATAACCAATTAAAGTGGTGAAGGGGTATTCCAGAACCCAATCACTTTATCCAATTTTGATATTATCACGTACAGTTTTGCATTTTTTTCAAAAAATTTAAAATTATCGTTAAAATACTGAATCGAAATGAGCATCGAGAAATCTTGTGTCCACTAACAAGTAGATGGTTCTTCATTACTACTACTCGTATTTTTGGTTTGTGTGAGCAAAGAAAACACTTCCTAACCGAATTAAAATATTTTTTTTGCCAAAACTAATCCTATACTTATAAAATTAAAGTATTTTTAAATTCTTGAATAGAATATTTTATATTCACAATCAAACTCAAGGTTCTTTTTTCTGTCAAAACGGATATAAACAAGAAGTTTTCGGAAAGGATTAATATGGAAGCATGCGGACAATACTTCAATTTAATTTTAAATTCTAAATATCTTGAATTATCAATATATAGAGATGATTGAACAAAATTTTAATTGTCAAAACTGTCAAAATCTGAGAGTTGAACGAGCTGTTCAGCGATATTCAAGTTAGCAAAATTGTGTGTTTCCGTTTTTTTCCATTGAAGCAATTAATTCGTTAATTATTTGCTATGTTTCAATTACGGTTACTCACGATTAGCAATTACTATAACTAAAATCACTTTTTATTACATTACTATTTCTGAAGAGATGGCGATTGATAAGAACGATTGTGCAGTGGAAAATATCAGAATTCATCGGTCAAATTGTCATCAAGTCATTACCACTTTGACCAGCTGATATTATGATTCTACTGTTAGAGGACTTTCTAAGAAAATATTCCTTAAAAAATTTGGCTAAAAGAAATTAGTTTGATAAACTATTTAAAACCAAACTATTCAACATTATCATTATTAAAACACATCGCAAGTTCAGTAAGAAATATTTTCGAGTTCAAATCATATAATTGCATCCGAAATGAAGAAAACTAGCCATTCAGTAGAATATGAGTAGAAGTGAAACGGCTGATCATTTCGCTAGAATTATTAAAACATCAAGTATTATATCAATTCTACAACTACTAATTTATAATATGCTATTTTTAATGCAAAAGTGTTTGTATATCACACTTCGTTATTAGTTGACATTTGGGAAACAATATTTATCAAACTAGTGACAAGAAGTATAGTCATTTATTATCGATCAGTCTCGGTATGGAATTTATTTTGAGTAGAATAAGATTTTCATAATTTGAATAATATTGGAAGCCATAATAGAAAGCATAACAGTTTGGACAAAGATGAAAATGGCATTGAGACTTTATTAATTATGAATAAATATTTAAATGAAGTATTTATCTTCTCCGTTTAGAAAAAGGGTATAGAATTTAATAAATGTAGATCTAAAACGGAATAGCCACTAAATGAGGATTAAATTTTTTTATTTTAATCCCGTTATCGTAACTGAAAGTAGCTTCTTCATATTCATCTCAGTATACGATTATTCCGTTTACTCTTTGTCTGCCTTTAAAAATTACACTTTGGCCTGTAAAGTTAATTTATCTAAATGGTCTCAATACGATCCTCACCAAGACGATAATGAGATTTTCGAGATCATCCAGTAGTAAGTGTAATATATTTATTTATTATTTATATCAAATGGCAGTCGTCTTGATGGTTATCATTAGTCCTTTAGTTGACTTCAGACTTCACAGAGGAGAAGGAACATCTAATTGTAAAAAGTCGAGAGGGGGGAACAGAAAAGTGTTTCAAAGATGTAAGAGACAAACACAAAGGTAGAAAAAGGTGAAGTGATTACTGTGGAAATAGTCGAATATGGCATGGAGTAAGGCGGTGGCAGTTTGAAGTGAGAAGTCAACTGCCGGTTAAAAGACTTTTTTGCCGCATGAGTATACGTTGCCCAGGGTGCACCACGTAGAGGTAAGTCTATCGCACACCCCGTAAGTGTAATATATGGACTCCAGAAATGTCAGACTTTAAAAGGTGATTGAATGAACGAAGTTATCTTTTGGCATTGAATTCGGATTTCCAGATGTCCAAAAGCCTTTAAATTGGAGTTTCGAGTTTCAAAATTCAAAGTCCATGATTCATAACCCGGATTCATGTGTGAAATATTGCTTATGATGTCAAAGGTTAACCGGTTATTGTTTACCTTTGATAACCTGCTTCTCCAAATTTGAAGAGTCTAGAGTGGTTGAGACACTTTTACCTTTTTTTCCACTATTCTGGCCATTCTTCGGGCAAATAATTGTCTGGAGTGAAATATATAACTCGAGCTCTAAATGATACAGATTATCTGATACGGAAACAATTCGAAAACCTAAATATCCCTTTGTAAGCAATCATATTCTTTTGGTGTCTATAGCCTTTAATCAGTGTTACGAGCCAAACTTATCCCTAAAATATATTTCGCAATTAAAAAATTGTCCTGCAAACAATCGATATTTTGTTTAATCTTAAATTTCAAAATGTTTATATTTCATTAATCCCGTTCCTGCCCATGGTAAAGGGAAATAACATGTTTAAAACTTCTTTATATGCCATTAGAAACAAGAGTCATACAATTATTCAAATTTGATAGGAGAAAAAAGGTCAGAAATTCACAAAATTAGAAATAATAAAAAATTATTTTGAACTAAAGGATTACTTTGAATACATCACTATCATGTTTACTTCTATAACCTATGAAAAAGCATGTCCATGTAAATTTTAGAGCATTTATTTTTTTAAAATATAATTTACTTATTACCGTATGTGGGTTTGGCTGAGAATAAAAACCGTTTTATATGCCAAATTTTGACAAGAAGATTTTTGATTAAGGTGAAGATTTATAAGGAAACGCATTATATCCAGATTAATTCAATTATATGCTTCTGGCTAAAAACTTAAATTTAAAACCGAAAATCAAATGAATTCGAATATTTTTAAGGCAAAAAGTTTGAGCTTGTGTTTGTTTCGTTGAGTTTTATAATGCTTTAAACAAATTTATTTTCAATTTTACTTTTAAACTCCAACATGTGGATGCAGTACCACAAGCGTGGGAATGTGATACGTTTCTCACTTTCAGTTAAAGGCGAAATTTCACAAAAACGCAAAAATGGCTGAAGCAATACCGTTTTTAAAATCTGATATTTTAAAAGTGCAATTAATTAAACGCTTGAGTTTTCAATCGACAAAAGCATTTGTGGTACATACTTCAACCAATCAATGACACGAACGTTTTTTTAAAATGGCATTGCTTAGCTAGTTAATTCAAATACCTTTGAGAAAAAACAACTAAATTTAACTACCTTTCATTGTTTGAATTTCAAACAATGAAGAACACTAATGTTATTCCCATTAAGTGCTACTAAAGTGGTTCTTATTTTATTCATTTTTACCCCGATTTGCAAATTCCATGGGTTTTTTCATCATTTTATTTTAAAGTACAGCCATGTATAGCGTCTGTAAAAGAGCCAACTATTTAAAAATAAACGGACCTTTAATAGTTGAAACCTGGAGAGGGAGTAATTTAGAGGCAATTTCCACTGAAAGATAAATTTTTTTTAAGGTTTTTAACATTTGTCAGCTTTTCAAATAGGTTTTAATGAATCAACAAATATAAGAAGATGATTTACGATTAATTATAATTTGTTCTGCAGATAAAACTCACCATTACAAGAATTTGAGATTTAATATACTTGGCATCAAATTCTAGCACTTATATGAAAGACTGCTTATCGATTTTTGCAATTAAAATTGATGACGTGTATCATTTTAATCATATTAAATACATTAAAGTATGTACCAAGTATCTCTGTGGAAATTTGCTTTTGATGCCAATAAAGCAAAGATTACAATCTATAATATTTTATTTAGTCCTATTCTAACGAAATTTTTATCTCATGTGAGCTATGATAAAATGAATAAAATTGACCTGTCACAGAGGGTTCAAAGATCTTCGGAAGAGAATTATTTCTATAAATACCCTCAAAATTGTAATTCTATTGAAAATGTAACTCAAATTTCATGAAAAGTATCTGAAAATAAATCTTGGCCGCTAGTTAAATGTGGTATTCATTGAAACCTCTATTATAAGCTCAATTAATTTGATTATTTCAACTTGCAGGAGATTGCTAATATTTATAAAACAATGTGTTATAAAATTGTGCTAGTACGCTCTAATAATCAATTTTCATGATAAACGAAATTTCAGCTAATGAGATCATTAAAGTAACCTCTGGATTCTTGAACTTGGAAATTGAACCAAACGTCTCTAACAAGAGAGAGCCCAACACTTTCATAAGTTTAAATCAAGCTATTTTAATTTTGTCAGAATAAAATATGAGAAAATACGCTTTTCTTAAGAGCGTGTTTACTCGATTTTATCTTCATCCTGACGTGTGAGAATAAATTATTTTTCCTAAAAATTTATATTTTGAAAGATGCAAAAAGGTCTTTTAAATCTTAAAATTACTGAAGCGCAACTGTGCTCAACGAATTGTGCTTCAAATTCTGACGTGTTTCGGTATTTTTTTCTGTTTGTTTTTCATTATTTGTATAAGAAATCGACATATCTGATTTCTTTCGTTCTGCGAGATTCAAATGGTCGTTTTATCACAAATCATTAGAAATTTCGACAATTTTATGGCAAAATCAGGGCCGATCGCGAAAAGGACTTGAATAGTGTAGCAAACTATAGAGACAAATTTTACCAACGGAAAGTGTAAGATTAAATTAAAAATAGACTATTAAATTATGCTCGTATTGTTTTCAAAATGAGCAAGAATGATTATATTTTAAATAAATTTTTAAAAAATATTTTCAGTTGTATTGATATAATAATTATTGGCCTCGATTTGCAACATAAGTAATTGAAAAAATAAAGTGGTATTCAATGGAACATTAAGTTCAACCTTTGAGTAAAAGAAATTTTTGTATGATGAAACATTCTAACAGAACATAGGTAGGCAAATCTATGTACTTTAAAGTGTAATACTAATAATAACAGTGTTTTAAATTTTGTTCCGAAATTGCTTTCAAATTTCTTCTAAATGATGCCTAAGTTTAAAACGCACAAGTGACCTTCATTAATTTCATAAAGTGAAGATAATTTTTGCTGATGCGCTTATTTCATACAAGTGGCCAGAACTTTATTGATCCAAAATATGAAAAGGAATGAGAGAAATTCTCATTAAATAATCCAAAGTAATATCCCAGGAATCACGCCTTTTGATTTAAATTTAATTTTCATGTTTTGTTTTATATTTCATTTTTTAACTCTCTCAGTTAGCTTCAATATTGAAAATATTCGTGCTTAGTAAATTATTTTACATTTGTAATGACTTAATAAATCTATGAATCATGCCGTTGATAACATGAGACAAGTTAAATATATTTATACATTATTATTAATATATGCTAACCACTTTAAATTATATTCTTCTCCAAAATTTTGCTGAACTATGTATATTGGGAAAATATCAAACATTCATATTCCTTAAAATTCCGTTTTGAATTTTTCTTCTGCCAGTTGGTTTGGTTTGAGTTTAGGATAAAATTTCTACAAAGGAATTGTTCTTTGCTTATGTATTAGTTAAGGTTAATTAAAATTATAAAATTATTTTATCAGTTTTTCCAACTACCTTTTAAAAAATGGTTAGAAATTTCACGATAAGAAACTCTGTGAAAAGATGAAATATTATATCAATATTTAATCAAACGTTTTAAAGAATTTATCGGATATTCAAAAATCAACTTTCTTTTACTTTGCAAAGGTGGACTGCAAATAAAGTTGGTTTTCTGGTTTCAAGATTTTGTATATTTTTATTCCTGTCCAACTTGTTGCAAAGCATTGGAAGTTACTTCTGTGTTTTATTTATTTATCTTAAAAAATGAGCTAAAAATCTGAGGAAAATAAAATTTACAAATAATAGTTTTGTCTTTTTATGATTTTATCCATAATTGTTTATTATCCAATCATGAAACCGGTTTTATGGAAAATAGCAAAATAAGCATGTGATTGTGAATATTTGTAAAATATTGTGCTAATCGATTAAATGCTTTCACTGAATAATAGTATTATTGTTATTCCACATAGTATATATAAGTCAAAATTTTAGAGTTGTGATTATTTGTAAGCATTGTTTATTTTAAATTTACAAATCTATCTGCATATAAGACGAATAGCAAACGAGACTATTAATTATTAGTTAAATTAACATCGTTGCTTGTCTGTCTATGCTTATCAGTTATGTAGGCAATGTGAAATAATTTTCCTCTACCAATAGTATATATAGGTTGTTTATATATATTTTTAACCAATTTACAGTTAATACTCTTTTCTCCTAATTACTAATAGTTCGATTTGTTCATCACTGAAATTTAGTAACAGTATCAATATTCTTATTGAAACGGGTTTTGATATTCATCTATGCTTTGGATTATTATACATTATTTCAAATTGACGAATGATAAACCGCAATTCAAGAAGAAATAAATTGTAAGAAATACATTTAGTGCCCTCATTTTGACAAGAAAGCACGTGTCAACTAAGGGCATTAATGAAATCGATATACACAACGTGTTTCAGTTGGAAGTTCTTCTACATAAGAAAAAATTTCATTTAGAAATTAATATATCGTAGCGTGGTTTTCTGAACTTGGCCATTAAAGCTTAAAATCAATGATATTGCTAATTTACTGCTAACGTGAAAGAACGCATAGACAGTTAACTGAAACATTTTGTTAAATTGAGTCAATATTTTTTAAGTAATTGAGGTTAAATTAATTTATTTTTAAAAAATAAATTATATTTATTTTCTTGCTTGCACTTGTAGAAAATATGTCATGCGCATCTAAACGGAAGTAGCCTTATCAAGTCCAATTGGGAATTCTCTGATTAGTTTACTCTATAAATTTTATAATTTAAAAATATTTGAACTTATCATTACTATATAGAACTTGTAATGCGAATACTATGAACATTCGATAGATATTAAGTTATGATTCGCAAAATAGTATGCTTCTTTTCAGATTAGACATATACTTTTATCACTCAAAGAAGTTCTTATCGTAAGTGTATTCAAACACCGAAATTTGTAGTATCGAACATAGATCGATAAATCATTCAAATTGAGCAAATTAATGATGTACAATTGATATTGCGCCAAATTTTACAAAATTTCAAATGTATGTAACTTTAACACAAATTCTTAATCTTATAAATGCAGGAATGACTCAGTGCATATATTTATTCGTTAAATGGACATATTTTCTACCAAGTGAATAAGAAATGATTTTGCTCGTTTTGAGTATGTTAAAATAACTTAATATTTAAATAAATTCATTTATCCTTTACTACTCATTCTTTAGAAGTATGCATTAAAATACCACCTAGGGAGGCTTTAGCAAACGCCACCCTATTTAAAGCCCTTCGTTTTTTGGCTTTAACTCTAATCGATGGAATCAATGATTTAAAGTCATATTCTGTTATTGACAAGCATACTTGGCAAAAATCAATCGTCATACTTTCTTCTTATATAGTCATTTTTTCTGTTTTGTAATGATGGTCATACCATCAGATAACCGTTTCAGATATAGAGAAAGAGGGAATACATTTTCTAGAAGTGTATAAATGCAAAAAATTTACCATGTTAAATATCAATATATATACATATATATCAGCAAGTTATTAAGATTACGAAACTCTCTCGCATAGCCGAATGGAAACAAACATCCACCAATCAAAATCCGCCTAGTTCGTCCTTCACGTATACTGCATACTCGGTAGCTTGAAATCATAATAATTTGCTTACACTTTGTTGATGACTGTTAGAAATGTATGGTGTCCGTGGGGTAGATTTACAAAACTCTCTACCATCCAACACAAGAATCCTCGTTAAACATAGTGAAGATGTGGAAATGTATTCCGTTGATAATGATCAAATATTGAATGAAAAATCTTGTCTTTCTCGGCTGTTTAATACGACATTCAGATGCTATGTAAATGACTTATCCAATTAATTCCATTTTATTTCTATTAGATGAAACCTTCATCACAAATGGCCAAACGAAATTGGAAAGGTCTCTTATTGGCTCTTCTTGTAATATTTGTAATATCAACTCTTATCGCCTTAGCTTGTTTCCTTACATTTGATTGTGAGTTAAATTGTTTAAATTCTATCATTTAAACTGTGCACAACGCCAAATTTACTTATTTAAACAGATAAAATCGAACCCAATTACGGACTTCCTCTTTCCATCGGGGATATATTTATGCTTATGGGTCAAATCAACCGACCTAATGCTCAATTTACAAATGGTAAATCTTGTTTTCTTTTAACTTTTTTATAATTTATTTAGATAATCTTGTGTATTTATCATCTAATGGTTCGCTCATCGCAACAAATTTGAAAACTCATCAGAATAACATACTCATGTCAAGTGCTCAAATACAGGAGGTAAAGCCCCTTCATTCATAACCTTGAGGTACTTTCATTTAGAAACAGAATTTTACAGGGGTTGTCAGCGTCTCTGACGATACGAGGGTGTTACTTCTCCGGTATTTATACTATCAGGTGATTTGAGCACAGTTTGAAGTCATTTAATCAAAAAACTCATTTGGTCTCTTTTGAAGGAAACGATACTTCTTATTTTAGATTTTCCGGAGAAGTTATCTCTCCGAATATCAGGCAGTCCTTCTATCAAAGTAAGTTTTCTTGCACATATATATATATATATTATCAATTTACCCCAGGAAATGATATATATATATAACTTAATGACGGTTTCAGTTTTACAATTAATGACCGTCTGCAAAATTCATAATGCCTAGACGTCGCTACCCTTAGATACAAAATAAACAAATACAAAGTTATGAATTGAAGATATATATACACTCCAAATAGCACATTACTGTTAAGTGCAGTAAACTTAAATGTGTAGGCATTCGATTTCATCACTTGTTCTTTTCTCGTGAATAATCGACTCCAGGTACTCAGGTGAGAAAAGGTATTTGACACAATTAACCGCAACGTGTGCAGTTAGAAATGGTTAAAAGGTATAACTGAAGTTTATTTAATTCACAAAAAATAATCGTAAAAAATGCATGAAGGGTTGAATGAAGTTGACTTTTTTTTATTTACAATGAAATATCGTTTGATTTGCAATTACCAAAATAATAGATATTCTCAAATTTTAAAGGGAGAAATCTTATTTCATGATTCTTTCTGAGAAAAAGTTCCCATGCTACATTAAGAGGTGCATATTTCAATGCACATGCTATTCCTATTGCTGTAAGTGGCAATTCGGTTTCCTAAACCCCCGGGTTATCAACGAAATCTGCTTTACTGATGAAAACGTAGAATCTGGATTAGATGACTAGATGAATAAGCAATATTACGATTATCTTAAACTGTCCGAATTAGAGTACTCTAATTTGAGTTATCAGTTATGCATCTTGTGCTAGTCTAACAATCATCTGTGCCACGTTATGGGTTCCCACGTTTCGGGGGGGGGGGGACTCAAAGGACTCCTATATGCAAAATTTAGAAAATTAAATAATTCGTTTTTCGGTTGGCAAGTTTCGTACAAAGTAGCAATTTACGTAAATGTTCTGCATTGTATTGTTTGTATAGAAACGTGTTGCCATGCGCGTGCGTATGTTTTTTTCGAATTTTTAATTGGTAGCTAAGCATCTATATAGGGTTGATTTACTTGAAAATACCGTTCCCTCTTTATATTATGAAAATCATATTCCTACATTTCTAAGTCTCACTATTAGGTAATAAATCAGCGTTTCATTAAGGCTCTTTGCTTTTCACAAATTAGCACCTGTTGGGAAATTTCTTCTAATCATATGCAAAATAAGAGCTAATAAATCTTTAGAAATGGTTAAACTGTAATAACAAGGTATTAGCCAAAATCACCCCAATGCCTAATGGCTTAAAAAGTGATCCTTTCGAATATGCCAATCAAGTGAAAAGGAAATCGATATTGTGACCACTTTGCTATATTTCGAAAAAATTACCCCTGTTTTGTCCTCCAATCATTTCAATCATTCATTTTTATTCAGTGGAAAGATATGGGCGGGTTATTTGATATTGTCTACTAATTTCTATTTATTATAATGACCTTTCGAATCAAAAAAACTATTCGTTCCCAAATGTATGCGCATCATAATGGAACGAATAGCTTCCCCTTAGTGCATGGGAATCAGTAATCAGTCATTAAAATAAGGACCTACAATAATAAAATTAAGGTAATTCTAAGCTCTCATTTAAAGCAAAATGGCTTTAAATGAAAGGATACCATAAAAATGCACGTACAAATTTTGATAAACTATTTTTCTTTATTTATTTATATTTATTTCCACTTTTGATTCAGTTACACACCCTTAACATTTTATTGGCAACCATAAGCTTTTCAGTAATGAAAGATATGTATTGCTATGTTTTAAATAATACCATACTTTGCGGATTTATTTATATAAAATGGTAGGATTTATGATAGTCATCAGTAGCCCTTTAGTTGACTACGGTTTTCACAGAGGAGAGGAGGAACATCAAAAGTCACAAAAAGTCGAGGGGAGAGGGAAGCAGAAGAGAAATTCAAAGATGCAAAAGAGACAGACACGAAGGCAGAGAAGGTAAGGTGAGTATTGTGAAAGTGGTGGAATATGGCATCCATTGAGATCAAGGTATTTTGAAATCAGAACTCAACTGCCGATTTATGGACTTTTTTGGTGCTAGTTTGAACTCAACTGCCGATTTATGGACTTTTTTGGTGCATGAGCATACGTTGCCCAGGGTGCACCACGTGGAGGTAAGTCCATCGCCCACCCTTCTTTCCGGATTAAGTTTTAGCAAATCTTTTGAAAGTATTCTTTCCGACTTCTTCCTTCGTTTCCCTAAATGACTTCCCAAGCAAGCGGACTTTAATATGCAACATAACTTTTAATTAAAAGAGCACGTAAAATATTTTCATTGCTTATTTCATAATTAAAATGGATGACACTTCCATTAAAACGATTCCACCTAGTTTAAATTAGATTTTTAAGTTTAACTTAAAATATAAAATGTTATTGCCAATTAATTTATTCCATTCGTTTAGATTTCATTGTTAAATCAAATGGCTAGAAGCAATTTACTTGTTTTATTAACCCCACAAAGCAATTGATTTCAAACTCAGCTCCAAGTTATGTGAAAACTTAACTCCAAAAATCTGCAAGACCTTCAACAAATAAAATTGTTTAAAGATGTTAAATAATAATTAAATTTTCATGAAGAAGCAATTTAACTTTCAACTTATCAAAATATGATCATTATAAACAGAAGTTAGGCACGATTATCTTACTTTAAGTAAATCTTATGAAGATCTGGTAATTGAGAGGTTGAAAAAGTGGTTTTCCTAAAATGCACTAAAATCATTTTTTTATCAAACCTTAGACCATAATTAAAGCGCATACACATTACTTGAATTAACTTTCTTAGAAAGAATTTCTTAATAATTTAAGATGAAACAAAATAATCAACTCAAAACTTTTGCGTGACGAGATCTTCAATCGGCGGTCATTTTAAATATTAGGAGGTATTATAAATGGCAATGCTTCAAGGCAAGAAGTAGGAGTGAGTTGGTGTGGAAATGAATCAGTATTTACTAACATTCAAATGAACTGCATAAATCAAGCTGAGGGTTTCTTTTTAACTGACCATATTTTTGGACATTGACAGTAGAAGAGAATGCTATTTCGTCTAAAGATTTAACATAAGCATCGTCCACAATTATCACTAACTTTTAACAGTTTTTGGTTCTTATCGAAAAAACTAACAAATTGAAAATATATAGATTATATTCTAAAAAATTATTACTTTGCATCCTAAGGTAAATAGTTCATGTCTACACATTCACTGCTTTGTAATATTAGTAAGCGTTATAATAATCAAATTTGGTAAACTGTTAATTCATAATTTTAAGATTGAATTTCCGTTCATTTTCAAGGAATTAGGCGATATGGAGTTCGTCTCGGCAACGGTAATCCTCATCAATTTCTCAAAATATTTATTGATAACAAATGGCAGGCGTTTTGATAGTTATCATTAGCCCTTTAGTGGACTTCAGGCTCCACAGAGGGGAAGGAACATCAGAGTGAAAAAGTCGAGAAGGGGGTGGGAATAGAAGAGCGTTTCAAAGATGAACCGCCGGTCAATAGACTTTTTTGCCGCATGAGTATACGTCGCCCAGAGTGCACCACGTGGATGCTAGTCTATCGCACACCCCCTGTTTTGTAATATTTGTGAGCCGTATATTAATCAAATTGGGCAAACTGTTATTTCATTATTTTAAGATTGAATTTCTGTTCATTTTCATGCCTTAGAGTCTGATTTTCTTTGATTCGATAATTTTATCAACATGGTTATCTTTCAATATCATGTACTGTTTCACAATTGCCAATTGCTTTCATTATGATAAATTTACTTAAAGCTTTTATTTCTTGATTCAGAGGCAAGAATCCGACAATTTTGGCGAGAGTTGACATTGGGCCATTTGAGGAAGGAAATAAGCAACCCATGCTAAATCATGCTCAATTTTCGCCAAAATCCGATGTTCTGGTAAATCTTCATTTTTTACATTTTAATAATTAACCCCTTTTTATTTTTAAACTCAAATTTTATCTCGGTGGCGTCTATTTTTTTGCTAGTTGGGATACTTATACCACACAAGACGGTGTCCTCACTTTGATCGTCTCTGTGAATTTTCTTACTATTTCGCATTGCATTATTTCGCAATGCGTGATAAGACAGACCATCATTTATTTATTTTTATTTCGAATGGCAGGCGTTTTGATAGTATTTATTTATTGATAACAAATGGCAGGCGTTTTGATAGTTGACTTCGGGCTTTTCAAAGAGGGGAGGAGGAACATCAAAGTGAGAAGAAGTGAGAAGTCAACTGCCGGTTAATAGACTTTTTTGCCGTATGATTATACGTTGCCCAGGGTGCACCACGAGGAGGTAAGCCTATCCCACACACCGCGTTTTGATAGTTATCAATAGCCCCTTAATTGTTTTCAGGCTTCACAGGGGGGAGGAGGAACATCAAAGTGTGACAAATTCGAGAGGGGAGGGGACAAAATAATGATTCACAGTGGGGTCATGGTAGTTTGAAGTGAGAAGTCAACTACTGATTCATAGAATAATTTTGCTGTATGAGTACACGTTGCCCAGAGGTCAGTCTATCGCGCACCCCAAGACAAACTATTTTAAGATGCCTTAACACAGTGAAGAGACTGGAGTCGAGTGAAATAAGGAATAGATGACTCATTCCTAGAATTATGTTAAGATAGCGAAATTAACGGTACTGCCTATTCGAAAAATGCAAAATTTGAGTACTGTCATCGGAATTATCAAGCAAATATCCAGGGTTCATCAATCAGTTGATTAGTTGGCATGATCACTCCAACTACTTCAAACTATTCTTTTCATCTAAAGACGGAAAACATTTGTATGCTTCTACATGATTTTAGGCAGTTTGTATTATTTTAACGTTTGACTTTATGTAATTCTTACTTGTATAGTGTAAATTGGTAGATAATATTTTACAATTTGTATGAGCCAAATATGATAGTTAAAGGTTTATTAGTCAGGTAATATTAACTCTCATATATTTTGATGTGTTACAAATTCTCGTTCAAGGCCCATTTTTTAATTAATCTTCTCAGTTACAGCAATTTTAAATTTTTCAAAATTTTCTGTTAACGAGGTATCAAGTATGTAGTGTATACAATCTGCACTATTTTTGTATGCAGAATTCCTTATATCATAGATTACCATCCCAAGCCTGAAAGAAATACATGTCAGCAAAATTAGATACATTTTTAGTAGTTTCTTTAACCGAATATTTATTTTATCGATAAGTCCCTATCTGAATCTATGAACAGTTTTCATTTGTTTTTTATATATATAGTCCTAAAAAGATTATTTTTTTGATTATTACTTTGACTCTGGAAACATCTAACCAGAAAGTTTGACAATATTAGAGCTAATTTCGAAGGGGTTACGATAGTTTCTATTTGTTGCAGAAAATCGAATTATCATCTTGCCTAACAGCGCACATAGAAATGGTATTTCATTACCACATCGTTTACGATTAATTATAAAGTATATTATTATACGCAGTAAGAATAACTAAGTTATATATATATATGACTTTCGATATGCTTTTTCATCAAATAGTACTAGATATGAGAAGAAATTTTGGTCTGTTTCCTTCTTTTAAATAAAGATTGCAATACGTGACTTCAGTACTTATGATTAAACTGATTTCAAACATTTAATTCACTAAGTCGATTTTGTAATCGATTTTTTATTAGCTGCATGATTATATGGTTATTTTTCTCATTCGTGTGGAATTTATTGAATTCCTCAATTAGTTAACTCACTTGCTGTCAGTTCTATTTCAGCATGTCGGTAGCGACTTTCCCATCTGGCTCAATTCTTTCCATTTTAAATGTTTTCATTTTAAATGCGCCTCATTTCTGTATAGTCAATGTCGATATTGTTAGTGGGAAAAGAACATGTGTTTAGTCAGTTTTTTTTCTATTTCACTTTGAAATTCTTTAAGGATAGAGTTTCGACTTGATGCATTCATTAATCAATATACTTTCTTAAGAAACAGCTTTCTGAATGATAAAATAATTGCTAAAGAAATTTCATGCAGTCTTCGGGTTGTCAAATACAAAATATTAATTTGACCGAAGTTTACATCTTGAAATTCAATGATACTCACCAATGGCCATCGTTTTTGCGTTGTTCGACTAAAGGTTAATTTTAGTTCAAAAATGCTAATTTTGATAACGTTGGGGTTATCTTAAATCTCTTATCGCGTTTTATGTTATTACTGCAGGCAATATAAATTGAACAAATTTTAACATGAAGTAGCAAATTTGACTCACGTGCCGAGGAAAATTAAACTTTGTCATAGTTTTAAGGAAGATTAGTATTAGTAATTAACCTTTATTTATTAATGATTTGTTGTCCATTTTGATGATTGAGTGAAAAGAGAGGATATAATTATTGCCTAGATCCCTTTATGTGGTTCTATAAAAGAATATACCTCTGCAGTAACACCTCTTGAATAGGCGTGCAATGTTGGTTCTTGTAGAGTAAATTACAAACACGTGACCTTAAAATTAAAATTAAAAAATTATTTAAAAATGAAATTTTGCCATTTGCATGCATCTAATTTGGAACTTTACGTAAGTATGGTGAAATGATAAAAGCCATCTACACAGAATAAACAGACGCAAGGATGGTGCTTTATCTGAGAAGCAAACTTGAATTGGAAGTCTCTTGTCATTAATGTTAGTATGACTCTTGTTTATTTAAAGTGTTTTGTCTTTTTAGGCGTTTGTACACGAAAATCAAATTTACATTCAAAGAAATCCGTTCAATAAGACACAACAAAATATGCCCATTCCAATCACGCAGGATATCTACAAGAAAGGTGTTCTCTATGGCGTTGCTGGATTTCTTTATGAAGGTACCTTTTTTAAATATTACTATGATTGAAATCTAATCTAATCATTCGTCCATAAGTTGTCATGATTTTAAATCGGGTCTGTAAACATGAATGTGCAACTAATAATAGGCCCTCCACCAATCATCGCAATTCCTTTCGCTTGACAATTTCAAAGTCCCCTATTTAGATGTCACAATCATCTCAGTAAGTGTATAACTATGGGATTCAGACTCGAGACCCCTAAACCCGCAACCGATCACGTTAATCGTTGTACCACTAGGAAATTAAATTGTGACTTCAATGTTGCAATTCAATTATTGTTTTATAAGGCATTTCATTATTCACTCATTTTGGTTGAACAGATTAAAACAGTCCTTGTAACCAATTAAGGAAAAGTTAAGTAGGCTATTTAGCTGCAAGTTGCCTGATGTTTGGCAACTGAAGGTGTTAAATAACAATGTAATCGCATAAGATGGGCTTGAAAATCACTGTTCGCTAGTCTATTTAAGTTAAAGTGTTTGGAATTTCTAAAGCTTAGCGTTAAGAACTTAAATTGAGATGATTCTAGTTCCGTCTGAGCATTTTAATTCCCTATCTACAATTGATGTTTATTTATTTAATAAAATTAGCGATGCTACCTCAGAGTATTTAGGTTCAAATGTTGGATAAGTTTAATAAAAATCTGTTGAATTTGTCAGCGGGCAGATCATTTTTTATGTATTCTTTAAAAAATAAGTTGAATGAAAGAAATTTAACCTTATTTTATTAAATATTCTTTGGCTCAATTTTATATTTAATTAAATAATACTACAAGTTTAGTTAATAAAAAAGGCCTTTAGTATTCTAACCGATTTTAAATTTGACACAAAATGTGTGCGAACATTATTTCTCCTAGCGGTAAATGAGTATTTGAAATTCCTTGAAATTTATCCCCTCTTAAGTATTAATCGTAAACAATAAAGGGTAATTTGAATTTCAAAAATACTTTGATATTTAGCCAAATTAATGGCTAGAATTTTAAGAAAGTCAAAAATTTGAATTCTAAGACAAATTCATGTCCGATACAATTCATTTAAATGAATACGACATTACATTAAAAAAATAGATAATTAAATTAAAATAGATTAGATTTGACGTTATAACATGTTCTCAATTTACATTATGCAAGATTAAATGATATTTTTCTGTAATGAATAATGTGATAAATAACAATATTATTATCATGAATAGAGAATCAAATATTCTTTCCCTTTTATAATTTTCGTGCAGCATAAAATTACAAAGCATACTTGTAAAGAATATGCAAGAAAATTTATAAGGTAAAATGTTAAAAGCAAGTTTATTATAAGTAAGGGCTCCTCGAAGTTTACAGTACCTAGACTAATTTAGTTCTTATGTTTATAAACAAAAATAATTAAATAAGGTTTCACATATCTGGTTTTGCGTATTTTGGCAGTTAATTTAGAAAAAAATATATCATTTCCTTAAATCATCATTCTAATAATAACTAGTTAGCCAGCTGTCGAAAACAACAGGAAACATGTTTTTAGCTTAACAATTTCAGATAAACCGTTTTGTAAATACTATCTGCATATTTTTACATTCATAATTGATTGCGCTTTTATAGAGGAAATATTGGGTGCTTCACAAACTTTTTGGTGGAGTCCAGATGGGAATTACCTGGCCTTTGCTTCCATTGACGAGACTGAAGTCACAAAGTTGAAGCTGATCTACTACGAAAATCTCAACAGTCCATTTGGACCTGAAGTCGTAGAACACGCTTATCCGATGGTGAGTCATTCCCACCGTTTCATCTTCTCAAAGGTTAAAACAATTTCAAGAAACGGTTTTTTTTGTTTTGGCAGAGAATTTTATGATGTGCTTTCTAAGCAAATAACCATTTAATACATATAATCTATCCGAAGTGTGAAAAGTTTGATTCGGTGTTAAACCTACTTCAAACCATTATCTCACACAATCTCGAATGTCGTAAAATTGATTTGGTTTTAATGTTTGTATAACCCAAGAACAATCTGAAATTTTAATATAATATTTCATGTAGAGCTGTGTAATCAGACGTTATTTTACTTTAATCTGGGTTAAATGTTATAAGCCCAGTGAATTTAACGAAGTAGCACCAGCTTTAGTAGCAATAAATAAAATATTACTAAAACGCACATCAATCACATTAATGGCATAACAAATATGGAAGAATATTAATTTACTCACCAATTCACTTTATGTTTTGCTGGTCAACTCATCTAGTCTACGGAAGGTAGTCGTTTTCATGTTCTAATGGAAGATGGCCAAACATGTCTATACTTTAAATTATCAATGACTGGTACATGTCACCGACCTTGTGATTGGTAATAATGACCTATGTCATTTGACCCTTATGAGCAACTTCTGCGGCTAGAGAAACATTATTCCAAACCTAGAAATAACATAGATTCACTCTATATTAAAGAAGTTTCAACTTAATTTATTAATGCCGCAACATTGAAAACTGTATCTCCAAACAGATATTGATGACTGTGAAATAGGTTTTGGTACTTGTTATTCTTTAATTGCTGTTTCAAATAGTGAAAATATATTCTTCTGAAAAGTCAGATCAAAACCTTTGCAACAAATATATATATACATTTATGAATAAGTTTATTGACGGTTTTATGCGAATTAATAAGCCTTTGGTATGCAATATCCATGGACACAACAATAGAATAGAAGTAAAAATAAATATTTAGTCTGCGCCATTTCCGTCCCGTCCTTAAGCTAATTTATCAATGAGTAATATCTCTCACCGTCTAGCCTCAGAAAAGCAACAATAAACAATAAAATGATTAAAAATAGGTGAAGTTATTCCCTTTTAGGCCGGAGAGAAACCGAAACCCAACCTTCCGATTTTGAGCCTCTACGTCTACGTGATGTCTGTTGGTGAGCTCATCCGATTTGCCAAGCCACCGAACATTCCTGCGTAAGTTTAAACAACTTTCAAGTATCATCAGTATATATCACATTCCTCATATTTGCAAGTAAAGGTGATATTGTCTAAATTTTAAAATGATGTTTATACCAAAAAACTGGTTCAAAAGTAATTTCCCATATTTTTACACACGATTAAAAATCAAACAAACGGTATGGCACTATTATTTTACTTTGTTTCACACTCATAACATGTTAGTAAATAGAAGGTTATCGTACTTGTATATATGATCGACTTTACTAATGATGGAAAGATTATTGAAGGTCCTCTATTGTGGTAGGCTATGTAAGTTCAATTGTTTATGTCGTAGCTTGGAGATCAAGTCAGTGGAATTTAAATATTAGAGCCATCATATCAAAGTACTCGAATAAAAGACAATAGATACCTTCTATTGCTATCATTATCAAATTATTAATTTTTTCAAAGGCTCAAAGCGAGAATAAATAATTAATTTTAAAGTTATCAGATATTTGGTATTTAGAATAAAAAGTTCCATATGTGGTCTCTCAGTTTTGCTTTTGCAAATTTTCCAGAGTTTGTGGCATTACTAATTCCTGATAACATTCGCAGTCTTAGAACGTTAATTGAGTGTGTGAAGTGATTTATTTACATTCACGAAATGGCTGATTCAACTTCGACTTGTTTTGTTGTTTGCATTTGAAAAAGAAAAGCATATGCATACGCCTTGTAATGTGGCCCAAGCCTGAAGTCAGCCATCCACAAAAGGCGCTTTGCACACGAGGTAAATCAACAGGAAGAATTGCCCGCGCTCTCTCAATCTCCCTCTCCCCTCCCCACCCCCCCCCCCCCCCACCCTCCCTCTCTCGTCTGAAGTGGTACAGGGCGGTCGTGAATGAATGTACTGCAATGCAGCCCCGATGGCATGCATAAATGCCGTTAGAGATAATTAAATAAACCAGCTGGCAATGAATCAGGCACATAGTTTGTGTTGCAAATTGTTGGAGGAATTCATTTGCTTTGTGTGGAATTTACATACTTACATATAGAAGCAGGTTAAGTGGTTCTCAGAAGTTTTAATGGAATAAAAGACTAACCCCATCGTCGTGTTGTAATATTCTAAAGAAAGTGAGCTGGTAGTCAGGGTGCTAGAGATTGGGAAGGGGTCAGTAGATTGGGATCAAGGCTATGGGCTTATACATCCGCATTACTCAGCTCAGAAAAATCATGCTCTGTTAGTATCTCAGCATCTTCAAATTTGTTTTAACTCACCATTTTAATTGACCCTACTTTTGCATGAAATTTGACACCGAGAGTCCGTTTTGGTTGATAAGTTTATGAAAGGATGTGCGTTCAAGAAGTAAATAGGCATTGGTTTATTTATCGAGAACATTGGTGTGCTATTAACACCCACGCAGTATTATATTGCCCGCGGTTTGCGATCTACACTTTGTAGATATTGACGCCTGCGTCATCGTGATGAACAGGTCAGACAATGAGCTTTAATTATTTTCTGAAATACTATATGAAAAATGATTTTTATAAAGAGAAGACTAGATTGGTCTTGAGATTGACAGCAATGTTTCCTGGCAACGGTTTCAAACGTGTAAAGGAGTGAATCTTAAAGTCGTGGTGTTGGAAGAGAGAATAGATTAAATGTTTCATCTGCATGAGGGATGAATTATTTGCAATGCATGTATACATCGTTCTTCAAAACTTTTAACATTACTATTGAAGGCATGTCGATCATGTTTATACTTAAAAAGATGAGTATGAAATGCATTTCATAAACTAGCCAAATTTACAGCAAACTTTGCAAATGGCTAAATTTGATCAAAGCGTAGATTCATTGAAAGCTCACACTAAGTCTAGACGTTTAATTATTAAGATGCGGAGAAAGGAACTTAAAGAATAAATTTATTGTTACACCACTACGATATATGAATTATGTATCATACCGCATTGTCCGCGCTTAATTCTATTTGTGTAAAGTTGGATGAGTTTAATGCACCATTTTCAGGACAAATGCAATTCTACTGTTGCTCAGTTAATGAAAATTATAAAAGGATATCATGTAAGGTAATCACTTGAATTAAAAGCACCATTTAGTTTGCCAATCTATTAAAATAGTTAGAGCGTATTATTTTTGCATTTATATAAGACTCTTATCTTTTATTCAATTGCCAGAGAGGTGTACATGTCCTTCTTCAAGTGGATAGACGGTGAGCGTTTTCTGTGCGGTTGGGTGTCGAGAAAGTGGGACATGGGCTGGATTGTGGTCGGCGATGTCAACTCCAAGTCTATTCGAACGGTAAGTATTTTCACTCACACTGAAGTCTGAACAATCCTTAAAAGGCAAAATTCTCAAAATAACGCTTCGCATTCAACCGATATTTGGTAGTAGTAATTGATGTTTTGTAACTTAAATAAAATTTCAACAACGGTGGTGTTGTGGTTATTTCGAGTTGCATTTAGGAACATTAACTAGTTTGACTGCGGTCGGTCGTTAAAAATCAAGATAATATGATTTAAATAGTCATCCAGTTAACTAAATACATGATGTGAATACTATTTTGAGCTTTTAGATTTATTCAGAAGAGGCGCGGTTCGGATGGATTAACTTTGTAAGTCATTTTCACATTCAAATCTATAAAAATGCTTTTCCTATTCAAATATTTATAATTTGCCTAACATGGGTGTTATAATACTTAAAATAAACTTCTTTTATAATGTCTTTCTTGAATTATTCGCTCGCAGTTTCCCCAACATTTTAGTAAATACCTAAGAGTGCACGCATTAAATATCATGTCTGAAAATACTCGATATCTGAGTCAAGATACGTTATTACAGCCAATGGTGTCTAAGATTGTGAAAGACTTATGAAGGCAAAACAGCAACTTAGAGGTCACTCAATTATTAAAAAACGAGACAAGTCAGTGTTAGTTACAATGTTATGATAATGGATGAAAACTGAACAAAAACTGTGAGCGTGAACAGACTTATTGTGAAGGAGAGTAGGTGATAGAATATGAGTTCAATCAACAAGTCCTGAATTCAGGACGAATATTTGAACAGAGCACAGTTCAGGAGTTGACTTAAAATTTTTACTATTAGACATATGTGTCCATTCTCATTGAAAGATTTCGCAAATTATTAATCTGTACACCACATAATGGGAACTAGTTATATAAGAAATGTTTGAAGTCATTTTGCTTTCCATTTCTAATGCGAAGGCATGGTAAATAAAAAACATAAATTATGAAAGAACACCCTATCTCATTGTTACTATTCTTAATAGTTGTGCTCATAAATAATAAGCTCTAAATCTACTCATCAACTTGCAATGGCCATATACTTATAATATTCTCAATCATTTATAGTAAATGTGACATTATTTGCACATTTTTGGATAAATTTATTAAATTTATTAAGCGCCTTGATATTCTTTCAAATAAATCATGCGATAGGCCATTGATTTATTGTGTGAAGAAGAACGATGCTTTTTAACTTAACTTAAATTATTTGAATCTGACAATCAAATGGTTAAACTAGAAAATAATTTGTAATAATTTTACTAAGTTCATCTAATTTTCAATACATCGATAGCTGAAATTCCCATAATACATTAATTTCAGCCCAAATTTATTTCTCGAATTCGATCCACCCTAAAGCTGATCACAAATATTTATTTAACAATTGAGGTTGTGGGACACTCCATCAATGACAAAATAGAAATCCTGCTATAGAATATTACTCAGAAATATTTAGCTATTATGGTTCACCCGAATTATACTAGTTATCTGATAACTAATCGCTTTGCCAACATTACATTTTGCTATCAATATACGCACCGAATAAACATATTCCGTGCTACACATCTGTTTCCCTTATAGCTGGGCTATAGCTTAGCTTGTTCTGGGAGTCTAGCTAGATGTTGGAGAATCTGCCATAGAGATTTCTGAGTCGGTCAGGCTTTACTAGCGTAGCAATCCGCTACAGGTTTATTTTCATTAATAAAACTATTTCACGTTTTCATTTTTTTATCATATTTCTGTAAATAGAACACATTGATAATTTC